CTTTCAAGAAAACGAACCCGTTCGGCGCCATAAACGAGAAGTTCAAATTGCGAACAATGAAAACGTCTAAAAAATTCAAAGTATTAAAGGTATTGTTACTTTAATTGGTATGATTAGTACTTTAGTTTTTTAAATCTTGAAGAAGCATCAAGAAAGCTTAAATATTTGAAATGATGTCCCGCCATAGCAATAAGAAGTATATCTAATCATAATAAATCGAAATGTTTATTTCCTTATTTATAATAAAATAAAAACTGTTTTAAGAACTTAGCACCGCACGTGTATTTTCAGCATAATTTCAAGGCTCTCACAGTCAACCCTTGCGGTCGAAATTCGCCAGGAAACCATATTCGAAATTATTACAACTCAAGAGAGTTAACACGAATATATAAATTCCGTCACGTTTCAACGTTTAGTTTCGTCGAGAAGGTGTTTCTATTTTCGGCAAGCATCGCAAGGTGGGTTTTCGGTGTAGCAATCAGGTGTGCCATATTAGGCGCAGTTAGCCTGCATGCAAACGCTCGATATTAATTCCAGTCGTTTAATTGAACAAGGCGAAGTCGAAGATGGAGAGATAAAACGACGGAACGAGGTATGCACGATAAAAAATCCACCTGTTCCGTGGAAGTAACTGGAAGCGAGAAACTAGTCTGGTAGACTCGAAAAGCTGGACTGGACAGTGTGGAATAAATTGTAGACGATTACCGTGCAGACAGGAATGCTGTTCGCGTGCCACGAAGCTCGACCAGTCCCGAGCAGACGTCTAGCATCTCGTCGGTGAAAATCTAAATGAAATTCGATTCGACAAGGAAGCCCGAAGCTTTCCACGATTCAATCCTCGTAGCCAATCGAGGGAAAAGTGAAACCGCCTTTCTCGCCCTACGCCGTAATTTGATTCGATCTTCCTTCAGGGCTGTCTTCCGTTTCTTCCCGTTTTCTTCCACCCCAGTTTTTGCCACCGCACTTCCGACGACCTTCCTTCGCGCGAAATAAGCCGAGAAATATAATTCCCCGCGAGCAAAACCGCCTACAACTTTCATCGAACAAAGTGGAAAACACGAGCGACGCATTCTTTCTGTGAATCGAGAACGGAATCCGTTGCGAATCGAAGGGCTCTTGGGAGAATCGCTAAATTGAACGATCTCGCGTCATACGGATATGACATTCGCGTAAATTGCTTTTTCTATGGCGTGCAGCAAAATTATGGGGACACTTGGGAAATGCTGAGCTGAGAATTTTGAAATTTCTGGACAATTGGGATTTTTGGGATTTCAGGTTTTTGGTGGCTAGGAATTAGATTTGGAGATTTGGGGATTTTGGGGATTTTGGGGATTTTGGGGATCTTGCGGATTTGGGAGATTTTGGGGATTTTGAGGATTTTAGGGATTTGGGGTAGTTTGGGTATTTTGAGGATTTTGGGGATTTGCGGAATTTTGAGAATGTTGGGGATTTTAAGGATTTTAGGGATTTTGGGAATTTTTGGGATTTTGAGGATTATGGGGATTTTGGGGATTCACGGAATTTTGGGAATGTTGGGGATTTTGGGAATTTTGAGGATTTTTGTGGTTTTAAGGATTTTGAGGATTTTTGTGATTTGGGGGATTTTGAGGATTATGGGGATTTTGGGGTTTTGCGGAATTTTGGGTACGTTGGGGATTTTAAGGATTTTTGTGATTTTTGGGATTTTGAGGATTTTGGGCATTTGGAAAGTTAGCAGTAGAAGTTTGAAAATTGGGGCAATTGGACAATTTGAACATTTAGAAAATTTGATAAATTAGAAATTTAGAGGTTTGATCATATATGGATTGGAAAATTTGAACGCTAAGAAAATTTAGAATCTGTATAAACTTGACAAAATTAGAACTTTACAAAAAATATAAAAATGTAAGAATTTGTAGATTAGTGATCTCACAACTTCTGCCATTGTAACATTTGAAAATTCATGAATTTATGAACCTAGTAATTCCAGAATTTAGTGACAAAAATTTGTAAGAAAACCTCTACCTAACTAATATAGATATCTGAACCTGAACGAATACAGATATCTGTTTAACATAGCGATACAAGTTAATTACGGACATAGAAATCGAAAGCTACACAGTTAACGTGACAATATGCAATATTTCTTTTCACTTCCACTTTCTGCTAGTGTCGACAGTTTCTTTTTATATATCGAACGATCCGTGAATAATCTTGGAACGAGTGGGGCTGTCCGCAAGATTTATTGAACGAATACGAAGGCGTTACGTTGTTTTAGCGGGGTGGAAAGATATCACGAAAAGGGGATGAATTCTGCGCAGACAAGGCAGCACGGAATCGACGGGCGTTGTGAATTATATGTATTTTACGGATATCGTTTCATTTATTTTATGAGAGGCTGACAAAATATGCAATATATCTAAGACAGAATTTAAAAAAAAAATTGTCAATTATATTTTTAAGAAACTTTATAAACTATATTTTTAAGAAACTTTATGAGTTATATTTTTAAAAAATCTTGTAAATTATATTTTGCGAATATTATTTCATTTATTTGAATTTATTAGGAAATGTATTAAAGACATTAATCTCTGAATAAGTTCTATTGTTTATTGTAAAATATTTGAACGCTGTAACAAAATTACGAGGGAAACGTTTCATAGATATAGAGGCTTGCAAGTGACAATTACCAGGCTATTAATAAGATCGAGGTCCACCTTTTCTGCCGTACGTGACCGTTTATTGTCCCTCTCCCTTTTTCCACCCAGAGGTCAGAATATAATCTCCGAACGGAGGAGGCTACAAGATTTATGAAACCAATCGAAAGGTGGAACATCTCTTGTACCTCAACTAAAGGTATAGCAGTATCAAATAGAAATACGATAAAAGGAGATTGTGGAATTCGAAAAGATAGCGAACAAAAGAGAGCAGGGGAATAAGAACGAGAGGGAAAGAGCTGAAAAGAGTTTGCTCCGCAAACGATCGTTTCAAAGCTATAAATGTGAGGAAACTCAGTAGAGATTATAAAGGTATTAATAAAAAAGATATTTTAACATCATTTTAAGCTGAAAAGAAAATTGTGTAACCTTTCAAAAATTTAAAAATCTATCGACATATGATTAATAGAAAAATAAACTGTTTATTATAAATATGTTAAATTCTACGTACAGAATTAATCAATAAATAGTAGAGCTAATCGGAATTTTATTGAATATAAATGTTCTTTAACTATTTCGAACATATTCGAATTATTAATTAATAAAAGAATTGTCTGACAGGGATAAGCGGGTTAAAAATGAATGAAGGTATTTTTCAACACGATGTTACGCTAGTTGTAGACATAAAAATGTACGAGAAAAGTAAGTCATAAATTATGGAAGATAAATGAACGGAATGTTGACGCACCATTCATCACTTTCCGCTGCTCTGCGTTGCGATGCATAAAATGTTTCAATACGCTCTACATTCCTATTCACATTTTATCGAATTTAAATTAGCCTTTGAGATTAAATACCTGCAATTATATCGTTCGGTAGACAATAAGTTATCTCGTATAAATCGTCATTCTTTTCGTATGAAACGTTTGATAAGATCGGATTAATTCATCAGGTTTACTTTTACCGTCTCTGTTTCATCTGTTCAAGACTTTCATTTTCATCTAATCAATTCATCTGTTCAAAATTTCAATTTTCTGACTGTAAAGTCTTTAGATATTTAATAATTATTGTTAACAAATAAAAAATCAAACCATCTATTTATTTTGATACTAATGAAACCGTTTCATATTTCTATTAAAGAGTTTCCTAACTTTTTCGACCTCTGAAATATTCAAATGTCGATTGTGACGGAAAAACAGGTCAATAAGTAGAACCGTGATTCGAAATAATGGTGGAAAACCACGTAATAAATATTTATAAGTAAAATTGCATGAGCTTGGAACGATAAAAGCCCGCAATGCGGAGGCACTGATTTGACGCAATGGAAACAAGGACGAAAAAAGTCTATCAATAAATACGGTATGTAGGACGGTGGGCCATCAGAAAGTACAGCAATGAAACGAAAGTGAAAAATGGAGCAATGGGATGCACAAAATAGGTGGCTGCGTAGTAAAATACGAAAATAGGAAGCTTAAAGGCCGTCTTGCGCATGCCAAATGATATATTACGTTCCGTACGTATTTTCGAACAACCACAGCCTGTCTTAAAGTAGCATCAACAAGCTCTTTGGAGGTAAAAGTAAAAAAATGCATTGTGAAGATTAGGTCATCAAGTAACCTCATCTGAACGAAGTATTGTTTTTAACTTCATTCGTTTTGTATTCTTAAACAGGAGCACTGAGGTGCAATAGGAGTAGATTCTAAGACTAGTGTGTAATTTGTATGAACTTACATTATTAAATTGGATAAGTTCTAGTCTGTAAGTACTTCTTTTAGCAAAGGTTAACTGTGGACGTCGAAAATTATTTTGGAGAAAATTAAGTTAATTCGAACTCATGTTCAAATTTTTGAATCTTCAAATTCATCAATTTTCAGGGTACTGAAGCTTCAAATTGAAGAGGTCTAAGATATAGTTAGTTTAGAAAGTAAAGACTTAGATGTAAACTAAGTGATATGTGTCAAATGTAAGAAAATGTAGGAATATAAGAATGTACTGAAATGTGGATGGCTACAAAGGTGATGCGACATTAAATGGATGAATTAAAAAGAATGTTCACATTCTTCAAATACTCAAGTTATATTCAAGCAAATTCACAGACTTCCAAATACCTAAATAGCTAAGTCTGTCGTGGAAATTTTTGACGATAGTACTTTTTAACCCCTTATACCCCTTAGTATGACTCCCTAGTATGTCCTTATAAATAAATATACCCCTTAGTATGTCCCTTAGTATGACTCCCTAGCAAATCAAGTCTCCTGTCAGAATTCGTATAATTTAATATTACACTTAATATTGTATACTTAAGAGAAAAAATAAAATATTTCAATTTTGCAGACATTGTACCTTCTAATCAATATGTTTCAGCTCTCTTCCACAAGGTCGTCACGTCTAAATTCGCGCGTGCTACTCGATATATCCCCGACGGTAGAAGATGGAAAGGGAAGCAAGAAACAGCGAGAAGAAACGGGGGTTGCGAGGGAGGAAAGAGAATCAGAGCAGCCTGTGGGACGCCGAGCCGCCAAAGAGTCTGGCAACGAGAGCAAACGGGCGCCACGACGTCGCCTACTTTTCTCTCCGTGCAATATATGCATACGTTGAACACGTATAATCGCTTGCACATACGCGTGCAAGCGGAACAGAGGAAACTGGGCAAGGGAAACGAGAAAGAGACGCAACGTGGTCAGATGCGTTCCCCACGAATGTGGCCAAACGCCTCAGCTACGAGGTCACCATGTCGCAACATTTCCAACGCTATTTTTCGCTCATTTCTCATCCTCGTTGATCTTTCGGTTATCGAGCAACGTCTCTTGCAACTTAACCCCTTGTTTTACAATCTCGAATACTACTGGTTAGGTTACACTTCGAACGTGACAAACCTGGGCCATATTTGTGACACCTTGATATTTTATGGACTTATACCTATGGAGCGTATTTTAAACCTTCGTTTAAATCAGATTTTTAATTTTGGAATTATTCTCGAACTGCCAGGGGATATTAATAGGAATAGCAATTAATTACAGTAAACAGGAGTATTATATTATTAATTCAATAAGTCATAACATAATTTAAGTTTATATGTCTTGTGTACAGTGATACTCTTGTGCTATTAGATATTTGAAAAGTCTTGGAATTTCATCGATTTAATTTAACGAATAAGTACGAATAATTTTTATAATAATTTAAGAATAATTTTAAGCTTGAAATGTTAAGATAATATTATTTTAAGGTTACGAATAATATTCCCACGTCACGGGGTTGAAAAACATTTGCACAGTGTAAGATGTACGTGCCACAAGAGTAAGCAAAGTTCTATATCTACAACCGGATAACGCGACGTAAAAACTCTTTAATTAAAAAAGATACGAGAAAGAAGCATCTCCGTGTTGATAGAAGTATAAAAGTAGCATAAAATATGTCTGTGTTTATAAGTTGCATGAACTTTCTGCAACACCTAATAGATAAACGTCACGTCCCAGTATAAATGAAGCTCTTTGATCTGACTCTTTCCATTCATCGAACATGTTTAAAACGAAGTACAGTCCGGAGGAAATCTGACCTGAGGAAAATGAGTGAGTGTGAAGATTCGTTTTAGGGGTCTTTCAGTTTCAAAGTCATAATTTACTACTAGGTAGTACTACAATTTAATTTACCACAATAGCTAGTACTGCAATTTGCTTTATAATCGATTATCCGTATTCTCGATGTGTCACTACATATTTTTCTCCGAAACTGAAATACATAAAAACCATGTTGAGCCGTAGAAAATTATGGCTGTTTGTTGGTAGTAAAAATCCATCGAATCACCTTTGTTTTCTTGTTGCTGCATGGACGCCTGCCAATGTTGTTATTCAAAACATGATAAAGTGCTGTACGGTGCATTGTCGTGTTCACAAAATAAAATATAAAACATTGGTGAGACAAAACAATAATTCGCTTTTTGTCGACGAAAACGGACACGTACCGGCTGTCGACGTCAACGAACATGTTAAATTCTGCACTCTGTGTTCGAGTTCATTGCATGCAATGAAATCGCAACAAAGAAAGTCGAAAGGGTGGCAAAATGTTTATGCCTGCGGTAAAAAGTGCTGCGACGTGTTAAACGTTGTAAGATAGCCGATGCGGAGATGTTATTCTACACACGTCATGGCGAAGAAGAATAGCTAAATCACGAGGATGGATAGATAAAGGGACAGGAACGTGTACTGCGTACTATTTGGTATCGCATCTGCAACTTTCGATTCAAACATTGTAATTATCGTTGCAAATACATCTCTATATTCGAGTACACTTAATTTTCAAACTCACAAATTTGTTAATTCTTGAACTTATAAATTATTCAGGTAAGACCAAATTTTCTAGTTCTAATGTTTCATATTTTTAATTTTTTATAGTTGTTTCAGGGACCTACACTAGGTGTGAGACACCGTGTATATTCACATATGTTCACATACGCATATATGTATACAATTATTATTACAGGCAATTCAGACTATCATAATTTTGAATGCGTGTGAAATTCTTAAAATTCTTTCAAACAGATAATTTAGCAAAGAGTATATGAACATGTACAGTTGGAATATACTTACAATATAAAATAATGTGTTTATGTTATATTATGCAAATAAATAAATACTTTGCTTTAATTCGTTATAATGATTATTATTATCGTTCTCATTAATACCAACAAAATAAATGTTTTTAACAATTCCATGTAATGAAATATCAGTTATACAATGATATCATATTGCAAACATTACTTTTTAAACCCCAGAAAAGTCACGTATTGCCAAAATATCAGTAATGAAATTTTCGTGATAACGAAAGATACCTGTCGTAACGCACATATAAAACGTAATATTTCAATTAGCGTGTAGATGAATTGAATCAGAAAGGAATGCGGGCAGAATAATAACGGTGGAAATCGATGTATAAAAATTGTTGATTTTGGTGCATTTCGTAATAGCGTAATCAGAACGTGATTTGTTTTTATTCGAAAGAACAAGAGAGAAACCGGCGACTGCATGCAAATTGTACTGTGATTAATGTAAATCATTCCGGCCAACAATTTTGCTTCCAACCACGTTCCCGTGTAAATGCTACCGAAATGAAACTTATTATTTGTTAATTAGAACGAACGTGCGAGGTAAAGTTGGAATGTCAAGGGGTTATCGTACTGTGAGCTCGTGAAGCGAATTTCCCTTTTTACTTGGACCTTGAAGAATGTAATAGGTATTTGAATAAGTAAAAATTAATATTTGGCAATTTACAGAAACGTATTTTGCATTTTATGCGTTTCACTACGCTTGCAAATATCGGTATTTGATATTTGATTTTTGGTATATGTAGATTTTTTAATTTAACACGTTGAGTGCCACGTCCGCCATTCGTGGACACTGAACTTTTCATTTAGGACGCATCAACCACCGGTGGCTGACATTGTAAAATATGATGTAAAACTAAAAAATTTACATTGTCATAATTACTGAATATTTATTTAAAATTTCCTTATAATTTTTATTTATTGCAGTATCGTATTATTAATGATTTTAAACACTTCTTTTCATTGTTTATTGCGTGGCCTAAAATTTCCTTAAGAATTCACTTAACGTTTTAAGAATCTGGGAATTTTGGAATCTGAAGATTTATGTGCGAAGAGGTGTTCTAAATAAAGTATAATCCTTCAATCACACGTCGAGTCAGCAAGAACCCAGACATGCAGTCATTCAAGGATTAAATACATTGTACGTGTTAGTAAGTCTCGTATTTATAGCCAAGTAAAGTGTGCTCGCAGTGCGTAGAAGAGGTTCAAACGTGATGCATTGTCGTTGCTTGATGTTTCGTCGTTCCAAAGAGGATCGACGACGTTAAAAGCACCCGGGCTCATAAAAGTCCATGTACGACTTCGAATATGACTTTAATGCTTCCGTTAACGGAGATATAAACCTAGAATACGTTCAGACCAAAGTCCGGTGCTTGTTGCGATAATTCTCGGGCTGTAGTCACTCTTTTACGATTTTCGAACGTCCCAGAATCTGAGTTTTATAGATTGAATTGGAAGTGTGAATGATAACGAAATTGGAAGTTTGGAACTTGAAAATTTACGAATTTCAAGATTTAATTTCCCGAAATTTTTGAAATCGAAAGATTTAGGAATTTAAAAATTCAGTATTTGTAAATTTAAGCATGAATTTGGACCTATGAGGTACCTATAAATTAATATAACTAAAATATAAAAATATAAAAACTTGAAAAGTTGGAAATTGAAGAATTTACAAGTCATTTAAAAAATATAAAAAATTTAAAAATTTGTGGATTTGAATTTCAGTGCACAGAAAAATGAAAACCCGAAAATTTTCAAGTTAGCCTGCTTGATATCCAAACTCGAAGTATTCGTTGAAGAAAATTGTGCAAAGACAGCGTAGTTTATACATTTACCTAGGGTTAAAGTTAACAGGTAAAAGAAGCAAGTGTACTTACTCTCCGACGCGTTCGCCATTCCAGCATCGTTTGTCAGGATACTCTTCGCAGATCGTGTCGGCCAAAGTGCCATAGAAGGTTCGTGATCTGACGACACTGGCCAAGAAATTACCTAGCTGCACGTGCAACTGAGTCGGTACTGTTCTATGCGTTGCCGGCGATGCAGCTGCGTGCATCTCGAGGTTGTTCGACGCCGACTTCCCCGTTGCAGTTGCATCGGTAACGGTTCCCTCCGATGCTTGCAATTCTGGACGACCGCACAATTTTCTCACCTGAAATCAAAAAATCTTCTTTTACTTTTCTTCTTTGACCTCTTCAGAAATTTGTAAATTTAGTTATAACTAAGGGTGATTGTACAGAATAGGTACATTTCCAAATTCTTGTATTATTTTGCAAAAACATGACTGCTATACTGAAGTAGTTGAAAATTTGATCAGATAGCATCTTTATTTTTAACATGTACAAAATATTTTCACAATGTTTTATGATATTTAGTGTTCATATTTCTAAATAGTTAATATAAGTATCATATAATATTTGAAAGTGATATATGAAATGTATAATTAAACCTAACTTGACCTTCTTTGATTGATTATCGAAGCTGTTTGTAAGAAAAGTTAGCTTAACCTAACATAACTTATAATATATCAAAGTGATATATGGAATGTATAATTAAACCTAACCTCTTCCGATTAATCATCAAAGCTATCTGTAAGGAAAGTTAGCTTAACCTAACCTAACCTATAATATATCAAAGTGATATATGAAATGTATAACTAAACCTAACCTCTTCCGATTAATCATCAAAGCTATCTGTAAGGAAAGTTAGCTTAGCCTAACCTATAATATTTCGAAATGATATATGAAATGTATAATTAAACCTAACCTAACCTCTTCCGATTAATCATCAAAGTTATCTGTAAAGAAAATTAGCTTAACCTAACCTATAATATTTCGAAATGATATATGAACCTAACCTTCCCCGATTATCGACGTCTAATTCAGAACGAAGTTACTTACAAAAAAAGTTAGCTCAACCTAACCTATAATATTTTGAAGAAATATATAAAATGTGTGATTACACTCTGAACTTAATTTTTGTTACAAAATTGAAATAAGTCGACACTATTAAAATTTATTATTTAATTTGTGTCCCTCTCACTGTTATTTACGAAATAAATTTGTAAGCTTAATATTACAATTTTCAGAAAATCACATTTCTTTCTGAATCTCCGTAGGTATACTTCGACTTCCAGCGAAACGTGTGAAGCAGTAAGTCGATATAAAATTACCACGTACTCGGCTAGATTGAACCCTTTCACTCGCTGAAATATGAATGCATTTATCATTGCACAGCTCGTCAGCGCGTACTTCAATTTTCTCAATAGCGACATCGATCAAAAATTCGCGGTCGATGACTTCCCACTGATTGCGAACATAATCAACTTTTTGTCAGATTCGGAGAGTTACCTTACATTTTTCATTCGGGTTTCACGATTATATGTTTCCCCTGAAATTAAACAAAGTACGTTCGTATTCGCTGTAAAATTGTCCATTCGTCACGTAACTGACGCTAATGTATTCGTTCAGAACAAGATATATTATCGCTGCTGCGATATCAACCGTATAATTTATACGTATCAACTGCTACTGTACTTTTTTGTCAAATATGTCACGATAATGTCATATCAATATTTACATTACTTTTTTCATGTCGAATTTTAATGGTCGAAAGTTTGCAATCGAAGATCGTGTTACAGTATCATCATAATGCGTTGAAATTAATAAAATTAATTCTGCTGGAGAAAGTCAATTTATTTTGTCGAAAAAATCAATTGAAATGTAACGTGAAATATTGTGCGATTTAAACTGTTAATGGAGGAACAAAAATTTGATGTTTCAAGTTACCATACGAAAAATTGCTGAACTGTACTTTCAATTGTTGAGAAGTTCTGAATTTTTTTTTTTAGAAGAATTCTGAATATTGTTCTACGTTTAGAATAATTACATGTTTTCGAATTTACGAAGAAGCAAATTTTCAGAATTTCCAATTTTCAAATTTCTTACTTTTCCAATTTCCAAAATTTCAAATTCCAAATTCCCTAAATTCCAGATTCTCCACTTTCCAAATTCCTCAAATTCCAAATTCTCCAAAATCCTCAAATCCCAAATTCCCAAATCTCAAATCCCAAATTCCCAAATTTCCAAATCCCAAGTTCCCCAAATCCCAAATTCCCCAAATCCCAAATTCCCCAAATCCCAAATTCCCCAAATCCCAAATTCCCCAAATCCCAAATTCCCCAAATCCCAAATTCCCCAAATCCCAAATTCCCCAAATCCCAAATTCCCCAAATCCCAAATTCCCCAAATCCCAAATTCCCCAAATCCCAAATTCCCCAAATCCCAAATTCCCCAAATCCCAAATTCCCCAAATCCCAAATTCCCCAAATCCCAAATTCCCCAAATCCCAAATTCCCCAAATCCCAAATTCCCCAAATCCCAAATTCCCCAAATCCCAAATTCCCCAAATCCCAAATTCCCCAAATCCCAAATTCCCCAAATCCCAAATTCCCCAAATCCCAAATTCCCCAAATCCCAAATTCCCCAAATCCCAAATTCCCCAAATCCCAAATTCCCCAAATCCCAAATTCCCCAAATCCCAAATTCCCCAAATCCCAAATTCCCCAAATCCCAAATTCCCCAAATCCCAAATTCCCCAAATCCCAAATTCCCCAAATCCCAAATTCCCCAAATCCCAAATTCCCCAAATCCCAAATTCCCCAAATCCCAAATTCCCCAAATCCCAAATTCCCCAAATCCCAAATTCCCCAAATCCCAAATTCCCCAAATCCCAAATTCCCCAAATCCCAAATTCCCCAAATCCCAAGTTTCCCAAATCCCAAATTCCCCAAATCCCAAGTTCCCCAAATTCCAAATTCCCCAAATCCCAAGTTTCCCAAATTCCAAGTTCCCCAAATCCCAAGTTCCCTAAATCCCAAAAATTCCCCAAATTCCAAATTCCCCAAATTCCAAATTCCCCAAATTCCAAATTCCCCAAATTCCAAATTCCCCAAATTCCAAATTCCCCAAATTCCAAATTCCCCAAATTCCAAATTCCCCAAATTCCAAATTCCCCAAATTCCAAATTCCCCAAATTCCAAATTCCCCAAATTCCAAATTCCCCAAATCCCAAGTTTCCCAAATTCCAAGTTCCCCAAATTCCAAATTTCCCAAATCCCAAATTCCCCAAATCCCAAATTCCCCAAACCCCAGATTCCCCAAATCCCAAATTCCCCAAATTCCAAATTCCCCAAATCCCCCAAATCTCAAATCCCTAAATTTCCGATCCCCAACTCCCAATCCCCCAATTTCCAAATATGCACATAACTAAATTTTCCACTTCCTAATTTCCCAATTTCACAAATTTAAAAACTCTGAGTCTTCAATCTCTCAAAAACTGAAATTTCCAAATACCCAACCAACTTCATAAACTTCCAAATAAACTCCACGCGACTTAAAAATTTACTCGTGCACTTATAAATAAAATAACAAAGAAACAATTTCATTGCATAAAATCTCCACGCGCGTTTTTCAGAGAGTTACAATCAATTTTCCCCGAAATTAGCGAGCAAAGTCGAGTCAGCAGTGTAATATTTTCTAGAGGTATTGTAAATTGTAGCGCAAGCATGTTCATATAAACGTTTGCATACGTGATCGTCATTAAGGTTATCGTTCGTATCTCGCGGTGTACTTCCATGGCCATGTTCATCCCAATTACCTTTTAATACCGGCTATAAAAGGAAGTAAGCCGACGGTTGTGCTTCTCGAAACCGTATAATCGTAAAACCGGCCACTGGCTCTGTCGTAATTAAGACGACACGCGTGGGTGTGCAACATCGTTCTCGTCATCTTCGCCGATTTCCTTTTTATCTTGCTGCGTTATCCTCTCCTTTTACACTCTACAATTACAGTCTGCGTTGTTCTCCTTTTTTACACGCCTTCCGCGTCATTCTTCATTGTTTCTTCTTCGTTCTTTTTAATGTCTGCTTCCATTCGTCTGCTAATTTCATTAACTACGGCTGCTCTCACGTGTTACAGGTACATCAAATTATTTCGTACCTTTCTCGTCGTTTATCACGCCAGTTTTTGCAATCGAGATCTAATTTTATATCATCAAATTTTAATATTTTATTTGATCTGTATTATTTACGAAGTAAGCCCTTTATGTATTTCTTTTCTTATTGTATTAAGAGGAAATCAGTAGCAGTTCGCATACAGGCAATTTTTACTTGGTATTATTGGTAATTTTTAATATCACAAGTCCTGTTTTCTTTAATTTTTTATTTAAGCAGTATTTTAAAATGATTTGTATTATACAGGGTGTCTCACAACTAGTGTAGGTCCCTGAAATGGGAGGTACCAATCGGACCAATCAGAGCGCGAGGTTTCAGCTGCCGGTCTCGCGTCTGCGCATGCGTAATCCTCGCCGCTCTGATTTGTCCGCGTTTTTCTTTAATAATTCAAAAACGAAGCTTCAAACTCCATTCTTGCAAAGGGAAATCTTATTCAGAATCACGTCTGTTACCCCCCCATTTCAGAGACCTACACTAATTGTGAGACAGCCTGTAGAATACAATGACGGAAAGAATTCTTTTCGTAATACAACAAATTAAAAAATAAGTAGCATCGAAATTTCTAATGGACATATTTGTGCATAACCTCATTGATTACTGAACACTAATATTCTAGCACAAACTCGAAATAGAAAATTATAATTATCCATCTAGAAGACAAAAAGTCAAAAATGATTTCTTACCATTTTTTTCTGTTTCATTTAAAATTTGTTTTAACGACAAATTCGATTACATCGATCCAATTCTAAGTAACAATTTATATTCCGTCGTTCCGATTATAGGCAACATGTTGCTGTATTAAAGGTACAAAAGAAGGATTTGTCAAGCACCTAGAAAACTCGATAGATAGAACGATCATTCGACGAACGTATATAGGATCCGGGTTCAACAATTCTTTTTCACTTTACGATGCATTAGTTTCATTTAAGTCAAAGTAGAACGAAGAACATGCCAATTACAGCAGCGAAACGTTTCATAATAGCTCGACAACGATAAATGGTGACCTCTTTTCTTTTCTTTTCTTTGATGAAGGCCTCACGATCCGCCACGAGAACCTGTTCACGTTTTGACGTTCGTTTCCTTTTTTATATTTTCTATTGTCAATTTGACGAACGCTATTTGTATACGATTTTTCTCAG